ATAAAAAGCCAAATGTACCTGCATCTATCTATGCTGTGGCCTTCATTCATTGTATTCATCGTATTACTTGCTGACTAGGCGCCCTTGCTCAAGACAACCTCCAAGTAATCACCCTCTATTGACCCTGTTTCCCTCATTATTTTCACCACTGTAAATATGTATGGATCTGCAAAGGCTACAAAATTCCTAATGCATATCACTGCAAAGGTTATTTGGTGACTATGTTTTTTGCTCTTTATTTCTCTTCCCTTTCTATTATACCAAACAATCATTCAAATCTACTCTATTTCTTACTTATTTCTCTCCTCTCTCACTCTCTCACACCTATTTCTCGCACACTTTCTTCATAGAACCAAACAAAGCCTAAAATCTTATTTTCAGTGAGTGTTATTTTTCCACTCTATAGTGTGATTGCATTGGCTTGCTCTCTAGAATTGGGTCCAGCATATTCCTTGGACTCTTGTCAGAAGGTACTCTAGTTGGCAAACTTGAATTGATATAGGCCTCATAAATCAACCTTCTAACGTTTTATACTGTTGGCAATTTGGCAGGAAAATTTAGTGCTTTTAACTAGTATTCATATCTATTAGAAACAACCACAGCCAAACATAACATAGCAATTCACCTCAAATACCAAACAGAGACAATGAATTCCGCTGAAAACAAGAAGTAAACTTTAATTTTAAAATTACTTACCTTAAGTGTATCCCAGAGACAATGAATTCCGCTGAAAACAAGAAGTAAACTTTAATTTTAAAATTACTTACCTTAAGTGTATCCCAGAAGTATATATGTAACGTTATTGCTTCCACTTATAATACCCTAATTTTTTACCCTTAAAATCTCACATTTCATTTGCATCATTACATACACAAACAAGATCTTACTTTTTGCTTCTCTCGCCACCCTTGTGTGTTTCTTACTTGCTTTTTGTTGTTTATGCTTACTAACCTCTAACCAAAATACCAAAAAATATTTTACGATTTGTTTGTTTCTTCTTCTGTGTGTTTAGGATTTTGCAAGAAAATTGATGACAAGGACATTCATTCAAGTCTAAATCAAATGGAAGTTTGACCTCATCTTAGTCAAACTATCAAAAGTTTGCTTCAATTGTAAGTTACCCGTGGTAGTGGGCTATTTTCTCAGGAAATGTGTTTGTTCAAAGTCAAGTTGTCCTATATTGAAATTCATCAAACTTTCAAGCAGTGTTCTATGAGAAGTTTGGCTCAGGTTATCATGATCAAGGTTCATCAGTCTAGGTGGTGTTCGTTTGTAGATTTATTTTCCCAGATATTAACTCAGACATATTGTAAGTGATTCAGCTTTAATCGAAGATTCAGAGGTTTGTCTGTACAAGTCAAGTTTGATAAATATTCAATCAAGATGTTTTTATTGAGATGCAAGTACAAAGTGTTCATTTAAGTGTGTCATTTTCAAGTGATTATAAAGCTTGATTGAAGTTCCAAAATACATGGAAGTGTAAAACATTCCTCTTGGAGAAGGAAAGAAACAATTAGAGGAGTGTTATGTTACCCACGGTGAGGTTTCTCATTCTCAGGCGGACTTGAAGTTCACTTATGTTGTGATATTTCAAGTTTTTGTTGTGATGGACTTTTCCAAGGTTCTCTATCTCATCAGTAGCTTCTATCCCTCCTACTTTGTAATGAAGTGTGGTGATACTTTTCCAAGGTTCTCTATCTCATCAGTAGCTTCTATCCCTCCTACTTTGTAATGAAGTGTGGTGATATTTTAATGCTTTTTGTTGTAATGCTTCAGTTTATTATATAACTTTCTGTCAAGAGTAAACTGCTAAATTGATCCTCCAAATATACAACATCTTAAGTTGTGTTGCCAATTCCTCAAATGAAGCATATGCATCAGAAGGATTAAGGCCAGTTGCTGGTTCAGTTCAAGATAATATTGGAAATTCATTTGCTGATAATATAGATTTTGGCGATGAACTTAGCAAGGATAACTGGAGTTTTCTCATACTTCATTATCTAGGATTAGATCATGTTGGTCATATTGGTGGACGCAGCAGTCCATTAATGGCTTCAAAACTTTCTGAAATGGATGAAGTAGTGAAGATGATTCATACTAATATATTGCAAAATCAAGCAAATGATCAAGGACAGACAATGCAATAAAGAACCACTGGAATAGTTCTGGCTGTGGATCGGAAACAATGCAAACTTGCTATCCAATTGATGAAAAAAGAAAAGGCCATGTCTATGCAATGGAAGTCCTGTCTATGGCCAGTTAGGAAATCCTCAAGCAGATGGGAAGCTACCAACCCGTGTGGAAGGAAAACTGTTGAAGAGTTTTGAAGAAGGTATCTTGTGGTGCATATCATGTTGCAGTTCTAACTTTGAGGAATGAGGTTTTTCGCGTTGGGGATGTTGATGCAGCAGCAGTTTCATGTGGCTTTGGTCGTGCTATTGGAAATAAAGGCGCTGTTGGTTTAAGGATAAGAGTGTTTGATCGGATTATGTGCTTTGTGAATTGCCATTTTGCTGCACATTTAGATGCAGTTAGTCGTCGCAATGCAGGTTTTGACCATGTATACCGAACAATATTTTTCAGCCGGCCAACAAACCTTATCTAATCACCGGTTCTGACGATCACACGCAAAGGTATGGGATTATCAGACCAAAAGTTGTGTCCAGACCCTAGATGGTCACACACACAATGTTTCTGCTGTATGCTTTCATCTTGAACTTCCTATAATCATTACTGGTGCTGAAGATGGTACAGTGCGCATATGGCACTCAACAACTTATAGGCTTGAGAATACATTGAACTATGGTCTTGAAAGAGTTTGGGCTATTGGATACTTGAAGAGTTCACGCCGGGTTGTGATTGAATATGATGAAGGAACAATTATAGTCAAACTTGGTCGAGAAGTACCTGTAGCTAGCATGGACAACAGTGGAAAAATTACTTGTGCTAAACATAATGAAATCCAGACTGTCAATATAAGGAGTGTTGGAGCAGATGTGGAGACTGCTGATGGAAAAAGGTTATCTTTGGCTGTTAAGGAGTTGGGCACCTGTGATCTCTATCCACAAAGTTTAAGGCACAATCCAACTGGGAGGTTTGTTGTTGTTTGTGGGGATGGTGAATTTATTATATATACTGCCTTGGCATGGAGAAATAAATCATTTGGTTCAGCTCTGGAAATTGTTTGGTCTTCCGATGATAGAGGATGCTCTTGAAGTAGCTACAGACCCTGACTACAGATTTGATCTAGCAATACAGCTAAGAAGATTAGAAGTTGCAAAGGGCATTGCAGTAGAGGTGCAGAGTGAATCTAAATGGAAGCAGTTGGGAGAATTAGCTATGTCTAGTGGCAAGTTACAAATGGCTGAGGAATGTTTGAATCATGCTATGGATTTGAGTGGGTTGTTACTGCTATATTCTTCTTTGGGAGATGCGGTAGGAATTTCAAGGCTTGCAACCTTTGCTAAGGAGCAAGGGAAGAACAATGTTGCTTTCCTTTGCTTATTTATGTTAGGTAAACTTGAAGACTGCCTTCAACTATTGTAGAAAGCAATCGAATTCCAGAGGCAGCATTAATGGCTCGATCTAATCTCCCAAGTAAGGTCCCAGAGATAGTGGCAATTTGGAGAAAGGATCTCAATAAGGTTAATCCAAAAGCTGCTGAATCATTGGCTGATCCTGAGGAATATCCAAATCTGTTTGAAGACTGGCAAGTTGCACTTGCTGTTGAGTCTAAAGCTGCAGAAACATTGAATGTTTACCCTCCAGCAGAGCAGTACATCAACCATGCTGACAAGCAAATTCTAGTGTTATCATGTTCCTCAAGCAGTCTGAGGGTGTCTCTGAGCATGTAGATTCCTTTATGCAGATAATATGCTGGTGCAGTTCAATGACACACCACCTTTTGTTTTGACCCCAATGCTACCTGACGTGACGAGATGCATGGTGCTGATTTTTTTTGAGGTGGAATATGGAGTTCATGATTTTGATGTTATTTTGGCAGACATACAGAAGGAAATGAACACGGGGGATCTTGTTGAGGAACTAAGTTATGGATGCACTGATGTCTCACAGTGCAAGGAATCACTGTCACTCTTCTTACCTTTAACGGATAATATGCTCTCTAAATTACTCGGTGCTATTGCACATTCACATGCTGGGCTGGAGGATAACCAGAGCACATTCTTAACTTTCCAGACCTGCCGAGGGATGCTGATATTAGTGCCTTGGTACTTCGGTTCGGCGGCGAATGTGAGCTTGTTTGGCTGAACGACGAGAATGCTTTAGCTGTTTTTTTTATGATCCTGTCCGAGCTGCAACTGCAATGAGGAGATTGGATCACGGAACAGTTTATCAGGGTGCTGTTTCGTTTGTCAAGAATGTCGGAGCATCTGCGGCGCCTTCGGTTACCAATACTTGGGGAGGCCATTGCACGGTGTCACTTGGATAATCAGGTACAACCTCGCCATGTTCATTTAGCAGTAAAACTGCTTCAAACATCTATAATAAGAGTGGAGTCCAGTGAGATTGATCTATCTGAGTTTCAAGATCAATATTGGGAGGTACATCCACAGATGTGAGTCGGTATGCTAGAAGTTATGAGCAAGTGCTGGAAACACAAATTGTTGGTGCTATGATGCAAGCACCTCAGCTTGACATACAATGTGGTTGCTGGAGGTGGTTCAAAGTTGAAGTTCCAATTTGACTGTCTTGGAAATTCTTGCAGTCACAAAAGCTTGCTTTTTATGCTCCTTCTGCTGTTGCAAACTCAATATGCCTATAGCTTCTGAACCTCCCTTCTTGATCTGTATGAAGGGGGATGTTAACAATTTTCCACAAACGTTAAAACAAATTTTCTAAATGAAATTCAACCGAAAAAACTCGGTAACATATCATATCCCTAACTTGACATTTTACATTACAAGAGCCATGAAACAACAATTTCACATAAATAGGTTTTCCGAAATGCATACTATCTTTACTTGCCTCTTTTGGGAACATTAACAATGCTGCAACTTCAAAGAGGCCATTTCATTGCGTAGTTGAAGAGCCCTATCATGGTTTCCCTTCTGCAAGTGACCAGCAAGCAATGTCTCATATATAGTCACATTTGGAATCAACGACCGACCTTTCATAATCCTCAAATACTTCTCGGCGTCTTCAACCTTTCCAAAACGGCACAAACACTTGATCATGGACGAATAAACAGACAATCCAGGACACATAGACTTATACTCCATTTCATAATATATCTTAAGAACTTCCTGAATCTTATTATTTCTCGCATAACCATTTATCAAATGAGAATACGTAAAATCACTCGGCAAAAACCCTTTATCTAACAACACAGTCAAAACATCATTCACCTTCTCCACATCACCATTCTCACCAAGCTTCTCAGCTACCTTATCAAACGACAAACAACTAGGAACAAACCCAGCACTCAACATTTCCTCAAAAACACTCCAACACTCCTTCAACCGTCCCGAATTCACACATCCAACTATAACATACTCATAAGTTTCACCATAAGGTCTTAACCCCTTCCCTTCCATTTCCCGCATCAACCTAATCGCTTCTTCAATCCGCCCCTTCTCACAAAACGCTTCAATAAACGAAGTATAAACAAACGAATTTTCACTAAAACCTCTTCTCACCATCTCATTATACATCTCGAGAGCACAATCCAAATCCCCTAACCTAACCTTAACATGAACAATCAACGAGTAAGCAACGGAATCACCAATGAAATTCTTCTGCAATAATCTCTTCAACAACGTAACTAACCTAACCAATTCACCTTCTTCTCCTTCCTTTTCCTTTTCCAACATTCTCAATATCAAACTCGAATTAACAATAACCGAAGGAGAATACGAATCTCTCTTCCCGACAATCTGATCCACCACATCAACATTCCTCTGTAACAACCCCTCTTTACAAAGAGCATCAATCATAATCCTCAACGTAACTGAATTAGGGTAAATTCTTTTCCCAATCATGTAACCATAAACCTCCCAAACAGTTGAAAAACGGTCACACCTCTGAGCACCATGAAGCAAATTATTGAAACTCGATAAACCGATACGAAACCCTAGTTCATCGACGTAACGGCAAACGGAGAAAGCAACGTCGGTTAATCGCGCTTTCGCGTAAGCTTTAACTAACAGATCGAGAACCGGTGGGTGAAAGCCAGAGGAAACAAACTCTGAAGTGTGAATGAGAGAATCGATAACCGCGCGAACTGAATTGGTATTGGTGTTTTTGTTAGCGAGGGTTTCGAGTAATGCTTTAGCGTCGGTGATTAAATTTGCTTGGAGTAAGAGGTTGATGGTTATGGAGTAAGATCGAAGACCGTGTTGAAAACGGTGCGTTTTGGAGGACCAGTGGAAGAAAGATAGTGCGTTTTTAGCGTCGGTTGGGGTTTTGAGTTGTAATAAGATTTGTTCTACTAAGGGATTGGTTAATTGGATGGAGGTGAAATTGTGGGTGATGGTGTCCCAATTCTTTTTTGATCTGAAAGAGTTGCATATTAAGGTGACAATGTTATTATTGTTGAGTTTTGATGAGTTAAACGGCGGGGTGTGTGAGTGTGGTTTGTAGAAAGTGAGTCTGCTTAACAGCTTTAGGTGTTTCGAACTCAAACTCATTTCTGTTCCGAAAAAAAGACAAGGTGGAGGAGTTTGTGCTTGCGGATCAGAAGTTTGTGTGGTGGATCGCTGCCGTCAAAAGAAGAAGAAGAAGATCCTTTCTTCTTTCTGAGTTTCTTTTCTCTTTCTGAAAAATGTGCGTGAGGGAAACTAGGAAGTGGGAGCTGCAATGAGCTCAGGTCATGCGTTTGGATCATGTGGGTTGTAAAAACCGTTTTTTTCTCTGTTTTTTAAATTAATTTTTACTTTTCATTATTATTATTTTTTAAACAAACTTTCCAACACACAAAAGCCATGTGTCAACCTATAATTGGAGAAGGTAACAAAAAATTTCAAAACCAATCCATTGAAATTGGACAAGTGTCTTAATAAGATGAATACAATATTTATATTTATCAATTTTATTAATTAAACAAATAAAATAAAATACTAATTTATGATTGATTAATAAGAAAAAATAAGGATAATGTATGTGAGTCTTTGATTAAATTTAAATCAACGATCTATATTAAATCAAAGAAGCACAGTTAATTAAATGTCAAAATTGCCCCTTCTAGAAGTTTTAATTAACTTAAATAAAATTAAATCAATTAAAAACCTCTAAAATTCACAACTTATTAAATAAACATGATAAAAATAAGATACAATCATGGAAAATTTTAATTAATTATTATAAATATTTTGATGAAAATATAAAAATAAATCGACTGAAAAATGAATAAAAATCAGGCGACAAAGTGCCCAAAAAATAAAATTGACCGCACGCAAATGATTAGGGCGAAATAAACGACTTAGAAAAATACTGTGTTTGGTCAGATTTAAAAATTCACCAGACCGGTAAAATAGCTCTGACTGATCTAAAAGTGACTGAAAAGTCGTCGAGAAATAAAACGAGCGCGTCAGGTTAAACTCTACGAAAAGTAGGTCAATATTACTGACACCTGCAAGCTTAATTTCCAAACTTTTCAATCACTGATCTTTTTGTATAGTTGAGGAGCAATTCATCTGTTTGTCTGTATATCCAAGAATTTTATTCTGCCTGACATTTCAGGCATTATTCATGCTGAAAAATAAGTCATGTTATGCAAGCGATGCAAATCGAAGATAAAATTGAGTGCAAGAAAATTCTAAAAAGGTAGGACAAATTTGGGGTATGACAACGGGTAAGTTACTTTTGGATATGGTTGTGCTCAATAAAAACAAATGCCTTAATAATTTCTAATGCTTCCACAAAATCACAATAATCAAAAGATTAAGCATGAATCAAATAAATTAAACAAAGTTATCAATCATCATAGCATATAGTAAACAATGGAGGTTTCTCACAATTTGTGGCTTTTGGTCCTAAGTGAAACAACCATTCAAACAAGTTGCACAAAGCCAAAAATTTTAAATCATTCTAAAATTCTATAAAGCGTTACAATTTACCTTGCACGCATTCAATGCTCAACATCTTACCATCACCATCCAAACTTGGTCAAAACTATTGAATACTTTTATACAAATAACAACCAATCTAGGAGGAGTTCTTTGAAGGTGAGAAAAACACTTACAAGGGGGGTTTGAATAAGGGTTTAGAAAAAATATGGCAATAAAAACAACACAAGATTTTTATCCTGGTTCGTTGAACTCAACTAATCCAGTCCACCCTATCAAGGTGATTTGCCTTTCTCCACAAGGACTTAATCCACTATATTCAAACAGATTACAGTGTCAACCACTAAGAACAACTGTCTTAGTCTTCTCAAGAAATCCTGACCACAACTTGGTCTTCTTAAGGAATCTTTTACAAATAAATGTAAACTAACAAGTCTTTAAGATGCTTCTAAAAAGCTATATCACAAACTATGAATTTTACACTTAGATTAAGAACGAATAAAAACTATTCAGCTTTGAGTAAGAAGGATTGTATGAGAGTTGTTGAATAATTTCAATGAGTTTTTCAATTGATTCGTTGTAAATTCATTAACCTTGAAGAGATGTTGAAGACATCCTTTTATAGTACTGAAAGTCCAATGCTTGAAGACTGTGCAAGTAGAGTAGTTGTAGCCTTTTGTCTTCATATGGCTTTTTCTTTCTCAGAAGTGGAATGTTCAGAGAAATGCCTTTTGCCTGAATCCTTGTGTCTATCACAAATAAGGAATAGTTCCGTTGGAGGACGTTAAGAATAGTACCAAGTCTATTCACGTGCTGACATCTTTTTCAAACGTAAATAACATCAGATCCTCTGATGAGCTTCTTGTTCTTCAGATCAGATTCAATGATATCAGAGTTGCAGCAACAATGCTTCAGCGTGAGTGATCTGATCAGAGCATACTTGTTTATCAGAGCCTATGTACTTGCAGCGAAAAGTACATTCAGAGTCTTCTGAAACAATGCTTTAAACTCTTCATACAAATACTTCAATTGCGCTTCAGAGTCTTCTGCAGCTTTTGCTTCAGAGTCTTCTGGCAGCGCTCAGAGTCTTCTGATCACTTGCTTCTGATGCTTCAGAGCTTTGCGTAGAATACTGTTCAGATGCATTTTTGCTTCCATAATAATATTTAATTTAATATCTGAAACAAAAACATTTGAACAAAATTAGAGTATATATTTTCTTAATACAAAATTTCATTATAGTTATCATCAAAACATAGAGATATAATAAAACACCAATCTGTGTTCTAACAATCTCCCCCTTTTTGATGATGACAAAACATAGGAAATTTTGTTTAATAAAAAGGATAAATATATAACTCCCCTGAGATAAAGAATCTCCCCCTGAAATGAATACTCTAATAGAAGAAAATACTTCCCTTTTTGCATGAGTATACTTTTCAGATTAAGAGCCTGGTTAAAAACCTCTGGTTAGAATCCTGGTTAGAATATACTTTCCAGAATCAGAGCTTGGTAATAGCTTGATTTGCTTTCCAGAACTAGAGCCTGGTTTACTCTTACTGATTTTCTTTCCAGGAACAGAGCCTGGTTAACTTCTAGGATCAGAGTCTGGTAATCATAACCTGGTTTGAATTATCAGAGCCTGGTAAACCTGGTTTGAATAAAAGTCTGATTTGGGTATTCTCAGGGTAACTTCAATGAATTTTGTTAGAATGATACGTTATAGTTCTGAAAGACTAAAATTCAATGTTAGATATAATTTGTTATGTCTGAATTTCATTTTAGTAACTGTTTATATTTGAACAAACATAATTTCTTTTTCTCCCCCTTTTTGTCATAATCAAAAAGAAAAACTTTTTAAGACAAAAAAGATTAACAGAGAAAAAACAATATAAAAGCAGACAATGAAACATCCAACTTCATTTAAATAAAATCCAGAAAACATTAAGAGAAACAACAAAACACAAAACACAACAAACATGTGCACAAACATAACAGAAAAAGAAACTAAGTTTGGTGAGAGCCTATCAACCTCAGAAGGTCTGTGATATGAGAATTAGATTCCTCTTGCTTAGACATCCAAGTCTTAGTCTCATTTGTTGTTTGTTCTTACTTGACCATCCATGTTCTGATCTCTTTGTTGCTGGCTTCTAGCAGAGCAAACTTTTCTTCTAGATTTGGTATTTCGGTCTTGATCTCAGAAGAAGCAGGTGCAGATGCAGATTCAGTAGCAGGAGCACTATCAGTGACCATTGCAGATGCAGATGCAGGTTCTTGAATCTCATAAGTAGAAGCTTGTTCCACAATCATCAGAGTTGATTGATTTGGCACAACAGTTTCCTCAGCAACAACAGCTTCTGGACGAGTGTCTTCAGTCATAGGATCATCAGCAGGAGCATTTTCCAGAGCCAGAACTTGAGGTCTACTCATGTTCAGAAAAGTCTGTCTGATTACTTCAGCAAATTTCACCTTTGCATCATTAGAGCAAATGGTGCGAAGATTTGAAGCAACAGTGTTGAATCTTGAGATGAATCTGTCCCAAGTAGCTTCAGAAGCATCTAGATTCACACTTGACAAACAGTCTTTCTTCACAGAGGATATCCACATGTTTATTTCCTTCTTGAAGCTATCAAAGAGAGTACCAACATCCATTCTAGGTTTAGGTCTTAGGAAGTTTTCTAGAGAGGGTGTTTTTGGTTGTTCTGGTGGAGATGGTATTGTGAAGGTTGGGATAATGAACAGAGGGCGAGGATATGGAGTAGAAGATGTTTGGCCAGATGATTCAGCAGAATCTTGAGGGTTAATGTAAAAGTGTTTAAGTTTGAGTCCAGAGGGAAGGGGATCAGAGGGATGAGGTTTGAAAGAAGTAAAGGATACAAACTCAGATGTTCTTGGTTCATAACCACGTAGTGAGGGGGTGAGTTGATTTCTGGGGGTAAGTCAGATTTAGATGAATCAGAAGATTCAGAAGAATGACATGATGTTGAAGAGACATCAAACACCATCTTCAAAAGTTGAACGACAAGAACCTCAGAATCATATATGAATGATTCAGAAGGTTGATGTTGTTCTGGTTGAGGAATTGTTAGTTGTGGATCAGATGGGATGGGTTGTTCTGGTTGTGGTTCAGGTTATTGTGGAGTAGGTTCTTTTGGTAGTGGTTCAGAAATTTGTGGTTCTGGTGGGGGAGTTTCAGAGTTTTATTGTGGTGAAGAGTTTTTTTTATCAGAGGGGGAAATATCAGATGGTTGAGAATGTGTTGGTTCAGAGTTATACTTTTCAGGTGGAGTTGCTTGTGGTTGGGGTACAGAAGGAGCTGTAACAGAAGGTTTCTTAGGTTTAGAAACACGAGGAGGAGGAGATGAAGGTGAGGGTAAAGGTTCATGGAGAGTTTGATCAGATGTTAGTACCTCTTTAACAGTTTGCAGAATAGAATCTAAACTTGCCTCTAGAGGATTAACCTTTTGCTTCTTGACCTTTTTAGGTTTGACAGTAGCAGCTTCACCAGTAGCCTTCCTCTTGGGTTTTGAGGGTCCTTCTTCAGCAACCTTTCTCTTGTTCTTGTGTCTGGCCTCATAAAGATCTGGTGCAGGTTCACCTGCTTTCTGAACCAGATTTGCTGG